AGTCGTTGCGTCGTTCAACAGCGAACGGCGCCAGGCATAAGGCACGGGCCGTGACAGGGTGACATTTGCACCTAATTATTATTTCTTGTTTCTCGGGACTCCTTTTCAACTATTTCTCCTTGAATGAAGCGGAATCAAGTTCACAATACCAGTTTTTCATGAAGGCAAAAAGTAGCTTCGAAAGGTGTGCCGTTTCTGTAAAAAAATATATAAAAAAAAGTAAATTATCATGTCCGTTCCCGAAGGGAACTCACGACGGCCGCTAACACCCGGTAAATCCTAGCGGCAGATGCAGCGCCTAACGGTGGGGGTGAGTGGATAAGTCTCACAACCACTGGCTCAAGTGCCGAGAACGACCCCATTAGCTGCATCCATGTACCCCTTGTGCCTGGCCACAAGTTCCCAGTTGACTGTGGGTAGCAGCACGGCTGGAAAAACCGTTCCCAGGCAGGACTTGAACCAGGTACCTCTCGTATCTCAATCATGGTCTTTGACTGTGCCGTTTCTGTCACACTCCTGAACTATCCGTAAATACCATACGTGACATCAGACCTTATCTTGCTAAAATTCAACTCAAGTCGTGTTAGCCATTCTGCGAGTTATCTTGGGAAGCGCAGTGTTCGAAATGCTAAAAATTTCCAAGCACGAATCGGAAGTAGTCGGCGCACGACGCCGTCTCCTGTTCACACTGAAAATGCAGCTGTTTTGTACGCTTGCGTCCCCGTCTACGCCCGTCTGCTTGGGGTGAAACGAATATACCGAACATTCGAATATTCGTTCGGTAGGCGACAGCGAATGAACATTCGTAGTTCTCACGAACATTCGAACTTTGAGAATGTGCGTAGACTCTACGGTACGATAAACCCGTAAAAACATCGCGATCAGTCACGATCGTTTCACCCACCACCTGTAGAATATGTGTAGCTGCGTGCTTGTGACCAGCGCTGCGCCAGGTGGTACACGACCCACGCGCGCGCGGTTCACGATATGAACCGGCACTTGGCTGGAGTCGAGGCGACGACATGTAGATGAACATCGGAACAAAGCACGAGTACTCGTACATGTACGAGTCGTACTTACATTATTTTGGCTGCTCGCTCTTCCTTTGACCACTTCATAGGATTCTTTTGTTTCGAGTTCGCACTGTTCCCATGTCAGAAACTGTTTTCGGTCGTGCTCCCCGTTCTGTTGTTTGGGATTATTTTACCAAATCCGAGGATGAGAAGTCAGCTACCTGCAGGATTTCCCGCAGAGTATGTTTATAGTATGGCAAAACGGCGAGAAACCTCTATGCGCTCCTGAAAACACAACTACGGTAACTTTCAGCATTCTTCTGTCGTCTCTGGGAGTGCAGTTATTTAGAAAAGCGATCCTGTCAGCTTTTCTATTATTGTGTTCACATGGCAGAAAAAACGACACCGCTATGCTACGTAAGTTTCTACGTAAGGTGCTCGGTACTTCACTTAGGCTACGTAAGTTTCTACGTAAGGTGCTCGGTATTAGATCTACTAACGCGTGGTAGCCGCGTGCTGTGCACGTGCACGGCAGACATTGTGTTGCATGCAGTGCATGCAGTCCGTTTTCGGATGTGCATGCGCGAGGAACTTCCTTCTTTGGAACTGCTTCTTGCATGAGCTGTTTCGGATATTTCGTGTCCTGGCTTATTTCGCTTCGGCTCTGCTGAGACCTCTTTTCACGGAATATTACTCAATGACAGGTGAGTTGACCAGTTCCCTTTGATTCATTTGCTTGTGTTGACTCTTTCATTTACGAAAAGTGTGCTGATTTTAGGTGGAATACAATAAAATTAATAATGGAAAAGCTTACAGGATCTCTTTTCTAAATTTAGCTTTTCTGCTGTCGAGGCCTCCTTTTACGGAATACTCAATGACAGGTGATCTCTGAGTTGACCAGCTTCCTTCGATTCATTTGCTTATGCTCACCCTTTCATTTACGGAAACGTGTGCTGATTTTATTCGGATTTAGATCCATTCGTATCTCTTTGCCCTTGCCAACAGTGTGCGAAGAACGCGAGTTCACCTTCTTGACGGTAAGGCTTATGTTGCTGCTGAGGCTTTAAATAGATGTGTTGTCGAAATACTCATGTTCATTGTACATTGGTACGTTACAAGTAAGGCACTGGTCATGATTGCTTCCGGCATTCCGTACCCCGATCATAGGATAGAATCTGAATTTTGCAGTGGCATAGCATCGTTGGCAGTTCCCAATCTGGAGGGAAAGGTTCAAGGACGCATTGGCCGAGTACTAGTATGCAAAATAAATTCGCATATCAGGGAAAATCTCCATTATGGAGAGGTTCATGCATTCAGTGACTTGTTTGCTTCATACGAAACAAGCCAATGGGTGCAGTCTCGTCTCGTGAAAATCTCGTACGATTGGATTTGTTTCCTCGAGTCTGGGCTGTTTGATTTGTGAGTAGCGCCGAGATTGCACTGCCCCGAATAAAGTTGCGTGCCGGTAGAGCAAGAATTACGATCTGCAATCTGTTTGTAGTACCTGCAAGAATGTGCTATACATGTATCGTATTTTCTCTGTTGTTGTTTCAGTTGCCGTCATGTTGCTAAAGAAAGGTTCAGTGACTCATTTGTTTCATAAAAGACCAGGTAATGGTTTGGTCTAGCTTAGAATCTTTCGCTGTAGAAGAAATCTATTCGGGTCTCTATTGGAGAAATAATTGTATTCACTCGTTATAAAATAGGGTTAACACAAACTCACAGAGCAAATGCCATCTGTCCCTTGATGTTCGTCCTAAAGAGGTTTGACTGGATATCATTCATACTCCCCCGAAGTCGTGTAACATTTTACTATTATGGAGTGCCTTGTTTATCTCTCAGTACCTAAAACCATATATCCTTGCCCCTTATATCCTCAGGATCAGTGTAGTTGTTGGAACGAGGTGTCGGACTCAGCAATGTATTTGTTTACATTTTAATACATGTTTATTGTTCCTACTTCGCTGTGTTGTTTTAGACAATCGTGGACACTTTGAAGTCACTGAACTGCTTCCAAAGGTTTTATCGACATCAACAGGATTACGATTTCACTACAATATGATGCCGGATGACCTTATCACGACAACCCATGACTACAATTATAAACACAGAATCAACAAAAACATCCGCGGCACACACCTGGTTACAATTCTCAAGTAAATGTGATTTAGGGTGTGGACATCTGAATTTTCTGAAAGACAAGACAATTTTATGACAGTCATGAAATTCTACAACATCCACAGAATGACTTGCGTATAAAAAAAGTATCACCGCCACTACCCATATGATTCCCCTGCAGAAGAACATGAATACATGTATGCAAGACTAGTTCCATTTTCTGCAAGAAAAGGCTTGCACATCAATGCGTACAACACGGTATTGAATTTGATATGATACACATAGTCATAGGGGCTCCCGTAAGAAGAACATAGGTCTGTGGGAAACACCCCAGTAAAATATTTAAATAATAATAATAACATGCAGAGGCGCTACATGTAGGCCATCATTAGGGCATTCCATTGGTTACACAATTATATCCTTTAGCCAAAAAAACAAAAGAAATTATAGCAATAAAAACTGCTTTATGGCAGTTTTCTAAAAAAGGTTATTGTGTTCTAGTCCATGGACCCCGTCTAAAAAGTAAGAAATTAACGAAATGTGTTAACCGAAAATTAAAATTTCACACAAAACCTCACAATAATCACACACAGGATGCGAGACGACCTTTTCCCCTCGTGGTCCTCTTTCATATGCAAGCATGTTGGCGCAGTACATGTACTTGTATAAGTACAAGTGTCGGAATAAACAAGTGTTGAAAGCCGTACTATTAGATCTTCAAGTGTAAGCCATATGCTGACGATCCATATAACAAATCCGGCACCATGACGGATAGGAAGTACTTGCTTCGACTAGCTAGAGTGAGGCAGCGTCGCGCTCGCCACAGACTACTGATCTTCCTAACAGTGCGTGAGATGCACCAGTCAATTTGCGGTTGCCAGGCCATTCGTTCATCGATCAAGACGCCGAGGTATTTCGCGCTGGTGGTGTGCGGAAGAGACTGTCCCGTCGCTTCCCGTCGATCCTTACGTCGCGTCCCGTCGTGCCCCGTCGAATGTGAACTGGGCTTTAGACAGCAGGGCCAAAATGTAACTGGTAGCAAACACAGCAGATCAATTTTAAAAATTATTTTAACGCAATGTTTAATTATTTGACGGTTCAATGGACTTCACTTCTCGTGTTCTCTGAATGGCAGTCGTGAGTCAGTCAAGTGAAAATTCAAGTCATGTAGAGAGCAACACACAATTGCCCAAGTATCGCCGAAGTCGCACCAACCTCTTCTTCAAAATATTCAATTTCTGTATACTAGTACTAGTTTTGAAGAAAGGGAACGAAACCTTCTCGCTCCACATATACTGGCACACACAAAGACATAGACAGTAATAGCGACAACACACAAAATGAAGTTTAGTTGGCCGGAGCCAGATGTGACAATTAGTTATATTCATTGTTATTTTTCGACTATTGTCACCTCCTCGGTTATTGGAATATTTGACTGCTTAGGTATAGCGATAATCAATGGGAGTCAATACTAAGAGAGTGATAGACACATGTATTCAACAACGATGAGGCGTGCTCAATGGGGAGACGGATGCATCTCGTGCAGAGACGCGCAAGTAGAGCGGGCATTACACTGATTGACATGTACAATGGTTGAAGCTTGTTATTTTTTTTGCCTCGAGCCGGGTTTGGGTTTTTTTGTAAATAAAAAAATAAAAAAGAAGCAGGCTACGCTGAAAGGTCGTAGTGACAAGGGAGTAGTGATAGAGCTACTCCCTGGTAGTGCCTATAGGTGATGTAAGCCTGGAACGAAAGGTGTACGGCCATGTCTAGGTTTTAACCCTACTCTGGGCAAACGTGTGTTTTGTCATAGGCTGGTTTAACCTTGCTTACATGTTGTTTGCCCATTTCATCTGCATAATCCATTAGATGGTTAAACAAGATCAATGGACTAACATCATTGCCATCTGACTTGCTAAAAAATGTTCCCAAGCTGACGTTTTTGTGAGTACCCATTTCTTCATCATTATTATCATTCTCACTAAAATTCTCAATCATGTATATTCCTTGTGTCAGAAGTACTCTTGCTTGTGCATCCGTGTATAATAGGGTCTTGATGTACGTGCACTTTACCAAAATCATGTAGAGGCGACGGTTTCAAATAGGACACAGGTTGCAAACCGGAACGGACTCCATATTCACTTTCTCTCTTGGTATTTTGATTAGAAAACATATGTCACAGTGAGACTACGATGTGTCATACTCCGAGCCAACATTTCATGGCTCTGCGATGACCAGAAGCGCCATACCAAGCAGGTGCGTTTTTGACGTGTTGCTTCGCACTGCGACTTGAGTTTTACGACTTTCGAAAAATCAACTTCTTGTCGCAGGTAAACAGCGGCTCGCCTCTCGCCAATAAAGAACCGATTACCAATCAAAACTAATGGCAGCACACACAAGGCTTATTTTTACTCTGGACTGGCCGTCATGGAGCGATAGCAATTACCTAATTTCAGACCCAGAGTGAATTTGACGTGCACTCTAAAACCTGTCCGGTTTGGAGCCACCTCTGATTTGAACTTTTTTGAAGCGAAAAATTGGGCAACTTGGAGGCAATGGGTCAACACAAAGGAGTGGCTCAGTTCGATTGACTCTGGCCCCAGAGCAAACTTCAACATGCCAGTTTCCTTCCACAAACATATTTCGAGTGAAAAATCAGCGCTGATGATCGGTTTGGGTCTATACAAATTTGGCTGTCAAAGCGTTCCAGTATCGAACCGTCTACTCTACACGAACGGCAATGTCGCCTTCAGAAGGTTTTTATTGAAAGCCGAGATAATCGAAGTAACTGCCTCATCTTGGTTGAGTTGATAGAGCTGCTCCAAGAGAAAAGGGAGAAAGCAAGCAACAACCGGCTGGCTGAAAGAATAGAGTGAAGATGAGGAAGCAGGTGCTCTTGCTTATACATTGTACTTTTTATAGTGGTGAAGATAATAGAAACTAATTATTTACATTCTCAAGTGAGGAAGATGAGCAAGGAGAAGAACACATGAATCCAGAATATGGATGAGTGCATGCGTCCAATAGGGACATGACGTAATCACGTGAAGGAAAGCGTGTAACGTAACAATACGCGTTATACGGGTGACAGCAACTTGAAGTACATGCGCAATACATGAGTAGCTAGCATGATACATCAATCGTGATTGTGGAATAATAATAAAAATAATAATAATAATTTGAAACTCGGATGTTGAGCCATAAATAAATGTAGAAAGGAAAAGGATATATGGATACGAGTTAAGAGTAACTCTCCATCACTGTAACTGGATACTATATACAGTCAGAAACTGCAATAACTAGGCACAAAACTGACAAGAGTACTGAGACATTCGACGTCCTGACGCCTAGCTTCAACACATCTCCGTAGCGCTAACCGACAGCCTTCCAACTTGGAAGGTTCAAGGTTATGAAAAGACCAAAGAGGGGAAGGCAAGCGCAACGAAAACGAGCAAAAGCCACAGTCCCAACGGAACAAAGAGTGTCGATTGTTACTGGACGATGACGAGACCAGTACGATATTTGACAAAGCGGTCTACCTACAATTCGAAGCAGCAAATCTGTCGGTTAGCGCTACGGAGATGTGTTGAAGCTAGGTGTCAGGACGTCGAATGTCTCAGTACTCTTGTCAGTTTTGTGCCTAGTTATTGCACTTTCTGACTGTATATACAGTCAACTTCGCTAATAACGACTGCGGATATAACGACAATTCGCGAATAACGACATATATTTCATGCCCAGAGCAAAGTCCCATCCAACTGTGACACATGTAATGAGACTTCGGGTATAACGACACTTTGCGACTAAGGACACTTTTCTGATGCCCCGCCGAGTGTCGTTATAAGCGAAGTTGACTGTAGTATCCAGTTACAGTGACGGAGAGTTACTCTTAACTCGTATCCATATGTCCTTTTCCTTTCTACAATAATAATAATAATAATAATAATAATAATATACATTATAGACATCAGCGTTCCTGGTGAGAACAACATCAATAAGAAAATGGCTGAAAAGCGCTCGAAATATTATGATTTGAAGCGGGAGATTTCGAGGATTTGGTCCCTCAACCAGGTTGACGTGGTCCCTGTGGTTGTCGGTGCCCTGGGAGGCTTGGTGGGGGAGACTCCTCAATGCCTTCGGACTGTGCAGGGAGGAGACCTGGCTATTGTGCAACAGGAGGCTATACAAGGTTCGATTAAAATACTGAGAACTATCCTTAACATGTAGATGCACCTCTGCTGCGTTTGCATGTTCAATAGCTAAGAGACTTGAATAACGACTGATAAAGACTGATATTTCCTTTGTTACTACTCCCTTCATTGGTTGATGTATTTTGCCTGTCGCTGCAAATTCTTTATTATTGTTTTGATGTTGGAGTTCGGATTGAGTTTCTTTCCTTTCTCCCTCTTCCTTCAACTAGTTCTTGTCCCTTTGGTTTTTAGGGTTTATTTATTTATTTATTTTTGTTTTTGTTTTTTCACTTTCTTTTTGCTGTCCCACCCATGGAAATATTTCCCGGTGGGTCTGGCTTATCGCCTTCGAAAGAAGTGAATAAAGGAGAAATAATAATTGCAATTTCAAATTTGGACTTCACGGAGAATTTCAAAGTTTTAAGGAAACTAGAGGCCACATGCCACCTACTGCTCTTTTCTCTCCGAAACTCAACACTTGCAAGCCAGATATGAAAGAAAGAAAAAATCATCAGTCACACCACCGGGACTCGAACCAGGGACCTTGCTATTCGCGAGCAATGCTCTAACCAACTGAGCTACAGTATGACTCTTATCCACAGTGATGGTAAATCTATCCTTCTTCGATCAATTCATATCTGGCTTGCATCATGCTGGCAACTCACACCAATCAAGAGGGCCCTCGGCCATTCGCTTGATATCATGGGGAGCGCATCAAACTATGTCCACTGCGAGCAAATACAAATTGCAATTTCAAATTTGGACTTCACGGAGAATTTCAAAGTTTTAAGGAAACTAGAGGCCACATAGTAGTAGTAGTAGTATTTATTATTTGACTAGGGGAGTCCCAACAGGCATGGCCTTGTTACAGGGAACCCTAGGTGAATCTTTGTGAGGTGAGCAAAAGTACCAGCAGATTGTGCCTGACGACAGTTTGGAGGAAGAGTGTTCCACCGACCTGCCGCCAGAAAAGAAACTGAGCGCAGTCCATACCCAATATGTACAGTAGGTAATACTAAGGCAGCTGTATCCTGGCCACGAGTACGAGCATTTGTGTGCGGGCCAACTGAACGCAGGAGAAACAGTGACTGAAGGAGGGGGCTAGTAATTGATGACAAGCAGCGATAGACCAAAACGTATAGTTTCAAATTAACTCGTTGCTCAAACGAATACAGATGACACCGTTGTAAAACTAATGCAGTTGGGGTCATTCTATCTAAACCAAATGCCTTCTTCATCGCAATATGGCTGACCGTTACAAGCCTGTTATATAGGGTAGTTTTCAAACAGTGCACATACGCATTACTTGCATATTCTAGAGTAGACTGTATAATTGACAAGAAGAAAGTTCTCCGAGCTGTAGCTGATAAATTGCGACGGCCATGAGCAAAACAGGCTAGTTTAGCGAAGACCACTGAACACACCTTTTCTACTTGTGGGCGGAACGTTAGATGCTCATCGATTAGTATACCGAGGTATTTCACAGTAGAGACAGGGGAAATGACAATACCTTTACAGGTCAGGTACAGGGCTGGGCTCAGTGCAGGCAGGGCAGGACGCCGTATCAACATGAACTGTGTTTTAGTGGGGTTGAGCAGAAGGCCTTTCTCATCAAGGTATTGCTCTAGCAACCGCATACTATCCTGCAAGCGTAGCATAATTGTAGCCACATCAGAGCCGAATACGTAGAACGCAATATCATCAGCGTACAGCTGCACGACACTCTGGTGAAATATATCGGGTACCCGGCGAATGTAGACGCAGAAAAGCAAAGGCCCAAGAACAGACCCCTGGGGGACCCCTCTTGTACAGGGTTTGGTGTCACCCTTCTCACCATTGACAGTAACCTGCTGGCTGCGGTTCGTGAGATAGTCTGAGAACCACTTGAGGACAGTGCCGCCTAAGCCAGTGGTGGCTAGCTCTCCCAGCAGACCTGTGTGCTGCACACGGTCAAACGCCTTGCTCATATCCGCAAAGACTACTCCGCATTGGGCACCGTTGTCAAGTGCTCTGTTCCATCTGTCTATGCAAAGTGTCAGGGCATCCTCACAGCTATGGTGTGAGCGGTACGCAAATTGTTCAGCTGGTATGGCTGACAGGTCTGGATTCTGGGTGAAATACGAAGTGACTTGCTTGTGGACAACCTTCTCTAGGATCTTGGCCGCGATAGGCAACAGTGAGATTGGCCTGTAGTTGGTGGCTGAGGTCTTATCACCAGATTTATAAACAGGGCAGACATGGGCATGTTTGTAGGCAGCTGGAAAGATGCCAGAGCGAAGAGACTGGTTGACGATAACAGTTAACGGATACGAGACTGAATCTCTGCAGGATTTCAGGATGCAGGACGGAATATCATCGGAGCCGGTGGCTTTGTTGGATACCAGAGATTCAAGCAACTTGGAGATGGTATCGACGCTGACGGTATCAAACTCCAAAAGAGTAGCGCTATTGGGGTCTGCAACGGGTAGGGGCAGCTCGACTGGTCTGGCAGGGTCATGGACGATCTCGGCGAAGGTAGTTGTCAGATCGGCGAGTGTGGCTGCTGGGGCAGCCCTCACTGCTGTTCTACCAGACAAGCTATTGATAATGGCCCATTGGCCTCGTGGGTCGTGGCGACGATTTTTGAACTCTCTGATGTAATACTGTGACTTCAGCTGCCTGTTGAGGAGAGTGCCTTCTCGCCGTATTGCACGATACCTCTGCAGAAGCTGTTGATCTGACGGGTGAGTGCGTACTTTTCTATGTAGGTGGATT